AACCAATCGACCAATCATCCAATCAATCAACCAACCAACCGACCAATCATCCAATCAATCAACCAACCATCCAACCAATTAATCAGTCAACCAATCGACCACTCAACCATCCAACCAACCAACCAACAAACAATCTATCTTTACATATATAGTTATTTGTATATCCAACAGCTACACAAAATGCTTCATCAACCAGAAAAACAAACAAAAGCAAACAAGCCCCTGCCCTTCTAATCCATAAACAGAACAACACATAGATCAATAAACACAGGACTGAACTAAACAATAAATCAAATTCAATTAGAAGCCTAGGTAAAAGAGTGGGTCCTAACACTATCTTCCGCCCTAAGGTCACCTACATCTGAATCACATTACAATATATTCTTTTATAGTAATATGTACTTCATGTCTCTCACCAGCACGTTGAGGGTCTTGTATTTTCTTTTGAACCCCTCGGCAAACTCCCAGACCTTCTTAGTCTCAGAAAGGTCCAGGATGTGGACGAACACCTCCTGAAAGACATCATCACAGGGGGTTAGATTTATATTTAGCACAAGTATTAATAACACAGTGTAGAAGTATTAAAATACTGCATTCAAAAGGTAACATTACAAAACTATTAAACACTTAAATATGCGTAGAACGCCAACACTTCAAGTATTCATTATGAAGGATTGCCATTTTCATAATAATGGATACTATAATATATATAATAGATTATTATTATAACTATATTACATCATAAGAAGTGCTGTGTTCTCCATAGAAACCTAACGGGCAAAGGGTAAGCCATTTTATTTGATATGCTATGATGCATCAGAAACTGTAAAGCAACGGTTCCCAACCTTTTTCAACTCAGGGCCCACTTAAGAATCTACATTTTTTTCGCGGCTCACATTTAACCACAAACAATACGGAGGCTAAATAAAGTTCTCAGAGTACTTTTTATTTTAATTAGAAAAGGAGCTGGCCATCAGTAACAAACAGACATTTTTATTACACGGTTTAGTTGAATACTCGATTCTGATTGGTCAATTCAGAACATGTGACACATTGGAAATCCAGTAGTACAGACCGCTGTCAAGGACTGTAATGTTATTTGGCGGCCCACTTGCAATGCCTTTCGCAGACCACTAGGGGGCCACGGCCCACAGGTTGGGAACCGCTGCTGTAAAGAATGAGTGTTTTTGTAATGTTTGGCTGTTTTTATAACATTTTATGGGTTTTAAATTGTGATTATGCTGAAACTGTTAATGGACAGTGAAGCGGACATTTTGAAGGTTGTCTGCCCCCGTGTTTTTTTAAATGTCTGTGTAGCCGTGAGTCATTCTGTACTTTATTTCCCGTCTCTTTGACGATTTCGGCCCTCGCCTCTTCGGCCTTGTCCTTGTTCCTGCAGACCATGTGGATCGTTCCTCCTGTGCAGAGACGGACACATGAATACATGTCTTTATGCATCATAGATTTAGGATCTAATTTATCATCATAAAGTCAAATAATGCAACTGCCTTTTTGACATGGTCTTTGCTAGTAAGGCAACTTTCAATAAGTGCAACCAACCGTGAAGACACAAAGTCAAAACAGCAATAATCCTGCAGCTATTGGATTAGCATTATTAGCTTTATTAGCATTACAGGCAAGGCAAGTTTATTCATACAGCACCTTTCAACACAACGCAATTCAAAGTGCTTTACAAAAATGAAAGACATTAAGAAAATGGCATTTAAAAAACGGTCATTAAAAAGCAAAGATAATACAAAAAAATACATGAATAAAATAGTTCACTTAAAGTGAAACAATCAAATCAAATCAAAATGTATTATAGCCCCAAATCACAAGAAATGCCTCAAAGCAAAAAAAGCAAATACAAACATCATAGTATAACAATGATAAAAACATTATCCAACATTATACATCAACGTGAGTATTGCCATGTGATAAAAGCATGTGACTGAAGGCAATGGGGATGGAAGCTAGTTTACAAGGAAGACAGATGTGAAGAGATGGCAGAAAGAAAAGTCTTCAGCCTGGATTTAAAAGTATTGAGAGTTATTAGCTAACCTTTCTTAGCGATGTTCATGGCGGTGGCTTTCCCGATGCCGCTGTTAGCTCCCGTTATCATGAAGGAACGTCCGGCTAAAGACGCCTCCAGGTCCTTCTCCACGAAGCTCTTGGAGGCCGACAGGAAGGCGCTCCTGCAGGAGAAAAAAACAACATTTACTGCATTTTATTCAGGTCTGCAAACATGCTTAGTGCGTACACTTTGAATCTCTGCAGCACGAGGGACGACAGGACGAAGTTTGTAGTTTGATATTCATGAGATTAGTTATAGTATAGGTCATTTAACTCAATATAGTGGTTTTTTATTTATTTTTTATAACATGGATCGGATTTTGAGGCGTAGTCATGGGGGAGGGGGTCTGCAGTTCGGTGGACTAAGGTTTGCACCACTGCTTTTTGCAGATGATGTGGTTCTAATGGCTTCATCGGTCTGCGACCTTCAGCACTCACTGGATCGGTTCGCAACCGAGTGTGAAGCGGCTGGGATGAGGATCAGCACCTCCAAATCTGAGGCCATGGTTCTCAGCAGGAAACCGATGGACTGTCCACTCCAAGTAGGGAATGAGTCCTTACCCCAAGTGAAGGATTTCAAGTATCTCTTGGGTCTTGTTCTTGAGTGAGGGAACAATGGAGCGTGAGATGGGCCGGAGAATCGGAGCAGCGGGAGCGGTACTGCAGTCGCTTTACCGCACCGTTGTGATGAAAAGGGAGCTGAGCCAGAAGGCAAAGCTCTCTGTCTACCGGGCCATTTTCGTTCCTACCCTCACCTATGGCCATGAAGGATGGGTCATGACCGAGAGAACGAGATCGCGGATACAAGCGGCCGAGATGGGTTTTCTCCGCAGGGTGGCTGGTGTCTCTCTTAGGGATAAGGTGAGAAGTTAAGTCATCCGGGAGGGACTCGGAGTTGAGCCGCTCCTCCTTCACGTCGAAAGGAGCCAGTTGAGGTGGTTCGGGCACCTAGTTAGGATGCCACCTGGGCGCCTCCCTAGGGAGGTGTTCCAGGCACGTCCAGCTGGGAAGAGACCAAGGGGTAGACCTAGGACCAGGTGGAGGGATTATATCTCTTCGCTGGCCTGGGAGCGCCTTGGGATCCCCCAGTCAGAGCTGGTTGATGTCGCCAGGGAAAGGAACGTTTGGGGCTCTCTGCTGGAACTGCTACCCACGAGACCCGACCACGGATAAGCGGGAGAAGATGGATGGATGGAAATAGTGTTTTTATAGTAATTCAAAATCTTCAAATGCAATCCCTTTCAAGATTTTTCATAGTCTTTTCATGTTTCTTTCGACTCCACTTCGAGCGATAGAATTATTATCAAAGCACTTATATACTAATAAAGGACTGGCTTATCTAAAGCCAGTTGAGTAGCACTTGAAATGTTTGGCTCTATGAAACCTGATGTACTTATATGATTCTGTTTTCTTGAAGTTTGTGTCTTCCTGGTCGAACGCACTTATTGTAAGTCGCTTTGGATAAAAGCGTCAGCTAAATGTAATGTGACATTTGAGTTTATAAACGCTTGTAATATCAAATTAGATTGCAATCAGGATATCTCAATAAAGGATTTTCATCGTGTGTGTGTGTGTGTGTGTGTGTGTGTCTGTTACTGTGTGTGTGTCTGTTACTGTGTGTGTGCGTGTGTGTGTGTGTCTGTTACTGTGTGTGTGTGTGTGTGTGTGTGTGTGTGTGTGTGTGTGTGTGTGTGTGTGTGTGTGTGTGTGTGTGTGTGTGTGTGTGTGTGTGTGTGTGTGTGTGTGTGTGTTCAGGTCAGAGAGGGTCAGTGTTTGCTTACTGTAAGTACTGTAAACTGACACAATGAAGATGAGAGCGTGCCTGGCATCAGAGGCGGTTTGGGGTGAGATCTGTGTGTGTGTGTGTGTGTGTGTGTGTGTGTGTGTGTGTGTGTGTGTGTGTGTGTGGTGTGGTGGGTGTGTGTGTGGTGTGTGTGTGTGTGTGTTGTGTGTGTGTGTGAGGACTTCAATCCCCCCCATTGTCCTGGATGCCATTGTTGGAATAGAGGGAACTAAATGCCGCTCTGTTCGCTGGTGTCATGCAGCGAGCGATTAGCGGGGTCGGAGCGGGTTACTCTGTGTTAAAAGATAACACAGAACAAAGGGGAGCGGGGAAACAATCACAAAAGCACCTCTTCACACAGCTGGTCCTGTTGTGAACCCATGAGGAAAAGGCTCCGCGGGGAAGAAATGGATCAGATAGGAGACTGATACAATCTTTTGAGGTTGAAAACTGACTTTGTAGTCGAACACGGCTCCTGCTGAGTCACTGGAATGAGATTATTACATTCATTTTTAATATTCAAAGATGCGCTGCAGCTCTTTTCTGAATTCTTGAATCATCAACTACCATGCAGTAGAAACATGGAGCTATACTATAATCCCTTTTCAAAGATCCAGTCCTTACATAACCTTTGACCCTACATGACCTCATATAAGCATCACTCCACGGACGTTCACAATGTGGGGTAAAGCTGGCCCTCATTGGCTGCTTCTTTGGAGGACAAATATTTGATTCAATTATTTATTTTTGCTTTAGTGGTTGCCTAAAAAGGAGCATCCCATAATGTCTAAAGTTAAACCAAATAAGTGGAAATCTTTCCAACCTTGTATGACTTTGTATGATAGGCATGTCTCAATGGGATGTAAAAACACATGCGTCTTAACATGACCCTTACTTACATAGCAGTAAGATTACATTCACTTAAGGGTGAGTTTTTGCCTCTTGCCAAATCGATGCTAATTCCACCTTTTAATACGGATATTTAGCTTTGCATGCTACCCTAAGGCGTCGAGTTTACATCCCTACAGTTTCAATGAATTAAATGTCATCGTTTGATCATTTATTTACTTACATATTATGGTGGTTCGCTTTGGGTGTGTGTGTGTGTGTGTGTGTGTGTGTGTGTGTGTGTGTGTGTGTGGCCTAGCATTACTACTTGTGGGGACCTAAATCTGTTTACACAGTCACATGTGGGGACTCGCCTCCCTTATGGGGACAAAATGGAGGTCCCCATGAGGGGCATCATTACTTTTAGGGTTAGGGTTAGGCATGTGTTGGGTTAGGGTTAAGGTTAGGATAAGTCTCCAGGAAATGCATGTAAGTCAATGTAATGTCCCCTGAAGTGATGTATACATGGTGTGTGTGTGTGTGTGTGTGTGTGTGTGTGTGTGTGTGTGTGTGTGTGTGTGTATGTGTGTGTGTGTGTGTGTGTGTGTGTGTGTGTGTGTGTGTGTGTGTGCGTGTTCAGGTCAGAGAGGGTCAGTGTTTGCTTACTGTAAGTACTGTAAACTGACACAATGAAGACGAGAGCGTGCCTGGCATCAGAGGCGGTTTGGGGTGAGATCTGTGTGTGTGTGTGTGTGTGTGTGTGTGTGTGTGTGTGTGTGTGTGTGTGTGTGTGTGTGTGTGTGACTGTGTGTGTGATCATTTATTTAGTTACATATTATGGTGGTTCGCTTTGGACAGAGGTTTAATGTATATATTAAGTGTGCAGTTTTTAAATGCAACGTTTCAAACCATTCACAAACGTTCAGAATGCATCCACAGCTAGTTAAATGACCGTATGTGATATTAGTGTTCAGGCTGAAACTATTATAATAACCTCTTATAATCATTTAGTCTGTTAAATATCAGATGTCAGTTTAAGAGCTCAATGTCTAGTTATGTCAAATCAACGGTCCAAAAAACCCAAAGATGTCTTATGCCATCTGAAATAAAACAAAGACAAGCAGCAATGTTCACATTTAAGAAGCTGGAATTCTTCCTTTAAAGAAAAAATGAATATCAAATGTAACATATTTTGTTGTTGATTTCCAGCAACGTATCATGCGGTAACTCTCCTTTGTGAGATTGGACAGTTTAGGCGGGGTTTTGCATAAATCAGTGCCTGTGATGTTGATTTGATTTAATGTCAGAAATACAAATACATCAGAGGAAACATCTTCCGTCATCACCCCACAATAATCACATTTTTATGAACAATATAATAGACTTTTTTTACTTTTCTGTAATGAGAATTATACAAAATAACTAATATTAAGGTAACTCATTGTAGTCAGTGTAGTTTGCTTTGGTTTGTCTATTAAAAAAGTAATAACCTATTATAGTTTATATATGTTTAATATAAGTCTGTTTGAGTAAGCTATAAGTTAGTTGAAATAAACCTAACAAGTTAAAAAAGAATAGCCGATTTATTCCTAAACTTGTTTTCAGTATTTGAGTTGCTTGAAGTATACTGTACTTATATTTGTAGAATAATAATAAATACAATGTTTCTTCACACAGAAACCAGTGAGGATAGAACATATTTAAACTCAATTTATTATAGTTCTCATCCTGCCTTTCAAAAAGTCATTGTACCTAATGATAACAACCATACAACTCAATATTACAGGCTTTTCAAGACCTTTTTTAAATACTTTAATGAAGCTTTTTCCTACCTGGTGAACTCGGTGAGCCCCTTCAGGAACCAGGCGGAGTTTCGGTACAGAGACATGGTGCAGATCCGGGAATGCTCTCTCTCTGCCGGCCTCTCCGCGGGGCTTTTACACGGGACCAGAACCACGTGGAGCTGGATTTACATGGGGGGGGCGACACCCTCTTATTATACATACATGCGACACCCCCACAAACCCCTAGCGGCAGGAAGGAGGAGGTTCAGTTTGTTAATGATTGAAATACACATCATCATTATTAGGTGAGAACAGCTGGAGATGAACAATGTTGGCTAAAGCTGCGCCATGTACTGTTCTTTGTGACAGTTGATCGATGGGGACTAGTCCACGACACTCGTTTTCAACTAAATCATTAGTAGGTCATCTTTAAAAAACGAATCTAAATGTAAAAAATAACCCAATAGAAAAGTGGTGAAAGTACAGATTTGTTGAGTGGCTATTGGGCTATTTTTATGCCACTTTTATGACTTGTTTGCAGATCTGCAGCACTCTCAGTCCAACAATGGAAAAAGTGTCTTTGTTGTTTTGTTCGACATTAAAATAATTTCCAATATATTTAGAGAGTTCAGTCCTCCACCCACAGCACGTTCACCTGTCTGTGGGAGTCGGGGGCGCGCAGCGGGGGCGCGGCTCCGCCTGGAGAATGTGTGGGAGCGCGCACTGCTTTCTGGGAACTATGAACGCGACAGCAGCGCGAGAGGACTGCAGGGTGCTGAGATAAATCACAAACCTGAAGGATTTTACATCTCAGGTGACAGGATGGTGAGTACCCGAGCTCTCTGCAGTAGTTACCGCGTGCACCTGTCCGCGAGGCAAAGTGTCCTGCAGAGCGATCACTTTCTGACAGAGAAACACTGTGTGAGGCTACTTCCTTGATCAAAGGTCGCTTAATTCCTGACTTTCCTACGCGTGGAGAACACGCAGGAAAGTTAGTCAGAATGATCACATTTCATTATATAGCGAGCTCTGAGTGTTGTGTCTGACAGGCGAATGGATGCGAGTCTCCAAACACTGCAGGACATTACATGTGTTTTGGATGATTTTAACAACATGAGGAATCTGGGTTTCCACACCAACAATCATTTATTTTACATGTTTTAAAGCCAGTGGTGGAAGGTGATTTAGTACATTTACCCTATATGTTTTAAAGTATACTTTACTCTATTTTATACTTCTACTCCACTACAATTTGTAGAAAAGATTGGACTATTTACTTCACTAAGTTTATTTGACAACATTAGTTTGATTGCAGGCAGAGGTGGTAGAAGTACTCATATATTGTACTTGAGTAAAAGTAGAAGTACTCATATATTGTACTTGAGTAAAAGTAGAAGTACTCAGATCTTGAGTAAAAGTATAAGTACTCAGATCTTGTACTTCAGTAAAAGTAGAAGTACTCAGATCTTGTACTTAGTAAAAGTAGAAGTACTCAGATATTGTACTTGAGTAAAAGTAGAAGTACTCAGATCTTGTACTTGAGTAAAAGTAGAAGTACTCAGACCTTGTACTTGAGTAAAAGTAGAAGTACCTCAGATCTTGAGTAAAAGTAGAAGTACTCAGATGTTGTACTTGAGTAAAAGTAGAAGTACTCAGATGTTGTACTTGAGTAAAAGTAGAAGTACTCAGATGTTGTACTTGAGTAAAAGTAGAAGTACTCAGATCCTGTACTTGAGTAAAAGTAGAAGTACTCAGATATTGTACTTGAGTAAAAGTAGAAGTACTCAGACCTTGTACTTGAGTAAAAGTAGAAGTACCTCAGATCTTGAGTAAAAGTAGAAGTACTCAGATGTTGTACTTGAGTAAAAGTAGAAGTACTCAGATCTTGTACTTGAGTAAAAGTAGAAGTACTCAGATCTTGTACTTGAGTCAAAGTAGAAGTACTCAGATCTTGTACTTGAGTAAAAGTAGAAGTACCAGAGTGTAGGAATACTCTGTTACAGTAAAAGTCCTGCATTCAAAATGTTCCTCAAGTGAAAGTAGAAAAGTATTCTCATCAAAATATGGTGAAAGTAGCGACAGTAAAAGTAGTCGTTGTGCAGATTGGTCCATTTCAGAATAATATATATGATATGTTTTATAATGATTGATCATGAAAGTGTTCTCAAAGCTGGTGAAGGTGCAGCTAGTTTGAATGAGTTTGTATACTGCAGGGTAGCTGGTGGATTTACTCCAGGTGGAACTAAAGTCTGATTCAACACTTGGTTATATTGTTGTACTTAAGTAACATTTTGGATGCCAGAGTTGTACTTGTAGCAGAGTGTTTCTACACTGTGGTATTACTACTTCTACTTGAGTAAAAAGGCTAGTCGAGTAGTTTTTCGATCTCTGTTAGAAACATATACTTTTCATGTTTTGACAGCAACACTAAACATCTGGCGCTCCTCAGCGCGGAGAGCTCTCATTAGTTTTGTTGCGCAACACTCTGAGTTTCTGTGTTTGCAGACGGTTCAACTCCCTGCTGATGTTTCTGCATGTTGAGAAATATAACAGTGACCTCACACATAAGTGCCTTACTTTAGCTTCAGGCAGCTCAATGTGGGAGTGTTATTCTGCGTGTGGTGTGTGTGTGTGTGTGTGTGTGTGTGTGTGTGTGTGTGTTTCTCTGTTGACATGCAACCAATAAACCACATTTTAGTTTTATCTGTCCTTCAGCCACAAGATGTTCCTCCTGTTTTTGCACAGCAAGATAAACACAGAGATAGGTAAAGATCTTTGGCTGAAGAATATGTACTAATACGTCTGTCGAAATACTCTGTTACAAGTAAAAGTCTGGCATCAAAAGCATAAGCATCAATATATTGTTAAAGTATAAAAATACAGCATAATAACTTAAAGTACTTAATTCAGAATGTTACTTGAGTAAAAGTTCATTATTATAATAAAGGTAATGGAATTGCACATTATGCAGGATGCCTCCTTGCAAAGTTTAATATTATTGTAGAATATCAAAGGTGGAGAAAGTACTGGGATATTTGACTTAAAGGTGGGGTAGGTAACCAGAAAGCAGCTCGAGTGCGCTAGAATTTAAAAATACACAGCAGAAAAGATCAGCCACTTCCTCACAGAGCCCCTCCTCCAACACACACGAACGCGCACGTGACCAATGAGGGCACGAGATAAGTTTGTGCACAGATGGAAGGCTGACAGGCAGGTAGGCCATCCAGTTACTTTAGCCGGCTCAGATGATTGGTCGTGCTTTTTACAGCGCCACGGCTTCCACTGATGACATATTTTAATGTATTTATTGTCAAAGCATTTAACGTATTCATTGCTATCGGGATGTTAAGAGCATTCCATGGAATATAACAACAAGTGTATCTCGAGCCGGTTTCTCAAACTTACCTACCCCACCTTTAAGTACAAGTAGTAATACCACAATGTAGAAGTACTCTGCAGGGTTCTTACGGTCATTAAAAACCTGGAAAAGTCATGGAAATTCAAAATGCTAATTTTGCCAAAGTTTTGGAAAAGTCATGGAAATGTAACTAAAGTTGCATCAAATATAATTTATATTTGATCTAATCGCCGAAATAGTAATACTATAAATAATGATAGTAAATACTGTATCGTATAGTAATGAAACGTAAAATGGCATTTAACTGACGAGGTATTTTGCTGGTGAGAGATTTGAGTTGCTTCAGCGTGTAGAAGCTAGTAAGCCTATTGGATTTGTTTTAGAGGCACAACAAGTTTCATATGCAGACCTTATTTTCCTGTTCCATGTTAAAATAAACCATTTTCAGTGGTACGCTGAGAAAGAGTCATTTATTTGGTCATGGAAAATTAAGTAAAGGTCATGGAGAAGTCATTGAAAATCATTGGTGAAAAAGTGTATGAACCCTGACTCTGTTACAAGTGAAAGTCTAGTATAGAAGTTTTAAAATATACTTTAAGAACCAAACTACAGGAACTCATTATGCAGAATGCCCCTTTTCAGATGAACATATATAATATCACTGAATAACATTAATTACCTAAGTCTATAAAAGTAGAAGTATAAAGTAGCCTAATAAATGAAAATAAAGGAATGGATACAAACCTCTATTAGTACAATACTCTAGTTCACATACTTGAGAAAGTACTGGGATCGTTTACTACAGGAACATTAGTAATAGTAGTAGTAGAAGTATATATGGCATACATTGAAAATAAAGGAATGTATACAAACCTCCATAGGTGGGAAGTAGTGGAGTACAAATACGTTGTCACTGTTCTTAAATACATGTTTCTGGTATCAGTTCTTCAGGGTTCATTGAAAACCTGGAAAAGTCATGGAAATTCAAAATGCAAATTCCAGGTCCTGGAAAAGTTATGGAAAACAATATTTTTCCCAAAGTTTTGGAAAAGTCATGGAAATGTAACTAAAGTTGCGTCAAATATAATTTACATTTTATCTAATCGCCGAAATAATCTGCGGTCGCGAGCTGTTATGTGCCATCATGACGCGCATGGTGTTATTTTTTTAATATATGAAGCGCGAGCTGTGTGCTCGAGTCTTCCTGCCTGTCGGCTGAACTCTGCTGCTCCGGGATGAGGGTCAGCTACATTATCTACGGTGCGTTCGTTAACTGTGCGGAGTCACTGTGGCACAGACTGAGCCGCCGGCGAACAGCTGTTAGAACGGGGTGTTCAGAGCGGCAGAGCGGCAGAGCGGCAGAGCGGCAGAGCGTGATGTGCACTGAAACGTTTTTCTGTCGCAATATCATTTAAGGAATCGTTGAGCTAGCTAGCTAGCATACATTGTCACTATCTGCTAACGTTAGCTTTAGCTTTCGTTTTCTAATAGTTTGTTTCATAGGCTATAAACGGAGGTGGTATAAGTATATATATTGTGCTAGAGTAGAAGTACTCAGATCTTGTACTTTAGTAGAAGTACTCAGATGTTGTTCTTAAAAGTAGTACTCAGATCTTGTACTTGAGTAAAAGTAGAAGTACTCAGGTCTTGTACTTGAGTAAAAGTAGAAGTACTCAGATGTTGTACTTGAGTAAAAGTAGAAGTACTCAGATCTTGTACTTGAGTAAAAGTAGAAGTACTCAGGTCTTGTACTTGAGTAAATGTAGAAGTACTCAGATCTTGTACTTGAGTAAAAGTAGAAGTACTCAGGTC